CCCCCCGCCGACGGTGGCTACAGCGGCTGCGCCGGATCCGCCGAACTGGCTTGAGATCTAACGGATGCGCGGACGATTACGAAATTCAAGTGAAAATTGATTATGTGCTTCGTCTGTGTGTGTGCCTGTGTATATAATATAGAACTAATATTAATCAGTTGCAGCCATTGATGGCCATTCTTGGAGCTTCTGGACCTAATTTTAAAGAAAAACAATTTTGATTAGAGTTTTAAAATAAACAACTAATCCTCACTTAAAATACAAAACAAAAGCCAGTCAAAATTTTGGTTCATGTAACAAATCATTCCTCTTCGTAGTTCACTGCAACTTGTCTGTTTTTTTTTCTCTCTTTTTTCGTTTTTAGCCTCCTCATGGTGACCTAACGTTTGTCATAAGCTTTTCCGTGGCATCTGTTCGTGGTGTATGCCTTGTATTTGGTGTGTGTATTTTGTATTTGTCCGTATTTTTAACTGTTATATTGTTTTGTATGTGTTGGCTTGGTGAGATACGTAATCCATACATATTGTTGTGATGCTTGGTGGTTTGATATTAAATAATTGATTATAGTGTTTGTTTTTGCAGGGAATCTGTTTTTGGTGGCGAGTGGGGGAGGCAAGACGAAAGGGCGAAGGGGATTGGGTCCAGGAACAGGATAAAGTTGTAGTGAGAGTAGAGTGTAAAACACATAATGTTTATGATGAAGATAAGCATGTAATGATTCAGCATTATTGCTGATGGAGTCACTGGTTAATGGTTATGAAGATAGAGACTGGGAAGCTGTATCCCATTGTATGAGAGAGTGGATGAAATCATGAATGGCAGTAGCGTGAATATATTTGTGGAATATGACGTCCGGCAAGAGAATGGAGCATAGAAAATGACTTGACCCTCAAAACAAGAAAAACATTATTGGCTAAATAACTGAAATATTCCTATGGTAAAGGAAAATAATCTCAAAATATTACTCCTCTCAAAGCCGCTTAAAAATTACACAGATCACAAATGAAAATTCATAAATGGATCATTTTTTTAATATAAATTTATTAAAATAATTTACTTTTTTAACAAATGTATTTTTTTTTTGTTGATTGAATAATTTATGAAATAATAAATTAATAAAATAATAATTAATATTATATTAAAAAAATATTATTTATTGAAAAAGTGTAGACTCTGGGAGGGAGTACTACTTTGCATACCAGAAAATAGAAACGATTTTTTTTTATACCGAATTCACTTTAACTCTTCTGTATCCTTATAAATATTTTTGGATTTTTAAGTGATTAAAAATTAGTAAACATTTAAATTAATCCTGATTTTGGAAGGAACTGTGATATTAGTTCTTAAAACTAAAAAATTAATGTCATTTTTTTTATGTATAAAACTCAACTATCTAATTTATTATGATTAAAAAATATAATTATTTTAGTTAATAATAATAAAGTTATGTTATTTATATTTTTTTCTTATAAATTTATTTTTATATTATTTTTTTTCTAATTAATACTTATAAAATTTTTAATCAATTAGAGTATATGTCTTATACACAAAGTAGTATTCTACTCACTAAAATTTTGAATCTTGAACATCTTTGTTAAAGGATGTTAATCGTTATAACTTGTGTCAATTAATATTGATAAAATAATTAATATATGAGACAATATAAATTAGGTTGGTTTTATATAAAATAATGGATAATTATTTTAAAGTGAGTATTATAAATAGAAATGGAGGTAATATATAGAAGATATCTCCAAAAGTACAAATCCATGATATATTAGTCTAAAACTCATATATATATATATATATATATATCACAACATA